CATTTGTCAGTTGTTACTCCTAATGTCTCCAATGCTCTTAGCTGGGTTTCCAGTTTATCGTAAATGAAAGAAACTTCTACCTTACTGTTTAAATTACTCAGCACTAACTTCAAAAGCTCTCTAATATACACTTCTATGAGAAGGTTATCTCTACCAAAACGACTTTTAAGACTTTGCAAAGCTTTTGAATAGTTCTCAGCGGTAGCAGGATAGCTTTCGACCAGCTGACGAGCCCTAGAATTAGCTAAAGTAGCCTGCACAAGATAATGATATTTATCAATATCGTCAATATTCTCGTCATCATCTATTCTTTTGAATTGTGCCCAAAAAGGTAGCCAATCCTTCAAATCCCCGCTAAACTTTGTGAATTCAATAGTAGGTAGCCTCAGCTTAGTCCTAACAGCAGTAGATTTACTCATTACAGACCCATTGGAATTAGGTGAAGTGGCCCTAGACCTAATCAATCTACTTTGTACAGCTAAAGTAATTCGATTAAACTTCTCTACATATTCATCTGCTAGCCTAACTTCTTCATTTAACTCTTCTTCATCTGCTTCAGAATCAAGCAAGAAATCTAAAATTTCCCTGTCTAAAGTTTTTAGTTCTTCTATCTTACCTTCCAGAGAGCTCAATTTACCCTGTATGTTGTGTATGTCTTGCTCATCTTTGCATAGCTCCTCATTTATTCCATTATAGATTCTGGTAAATGCTGTTCTGAAGGTTTTTCTTAGTTTCCTATTTCTTTCCATTATCTCAATAGTGACTATCTGGTTAAGAACTCATACAATCCTGTCACGGTCGCCAAATGTTAAAAGTCAAAAATGGAAAGAGAAATAGACTAGATAATGAGCAGACAATAATTTAATTATTTACAAAAGAAAAGTTACTCAATCATAATAAAATGCTACCAAACCATATTCTTTGTAATCACAACATAACAATTCATTCAAAAATCATATGTCTCAAAATTATAAAAGTTCATATTTTCATAGCAGCTGGAAAAGACAATACAAAATATAAACCATATAGTCCAGTAAAATAAGACATTTTGGTATGCAAAAGGTCGGGTAGTTCTGATTTTTGGATATGCTGTTAGTATTGGGCCCATAACATAAAATCCAAGTTATCCACCTCGAGATACTGCCGCTCGCCGTGGGGCGCGCCACTTGTTATCGAAATATCATAAATATGGCAATTCCTATTGTTTTTCACTCGTTCTCGCGAACCGTTGATTTTACCGAAAATTTTATATTATTACATTAAAGAAGAATAAATTTGTGACAGTTTAAGCCCAACAGCAAGTATGTAGCGTAAATAATGGTCAAAATACAGACCATCAAAATAAATAAATTTTTCCAAAGACGTATAAAAATTGTGGTTTTTTACAATATTTCCACAATATAGTTGTTTGAAGCAAACACCGTATTGATTTAGAGAGTATGCCAGTTTATTTGCTATTATTAGAAAATAAATGAAAGTATGAATAAAAATACCCCCACCTCAGCAAACCTGCATACTAAGCGAATTTCCATTTGCTTGATTTGATTTTAACAAACCTATTAAATAACATTAGGTTTAACTAGTACCTAGGTTTGCTGCTACAGGTAGGGTAATATAGTACTGTATATATTTTAGTAAAATAATAATAGTATGATAAGAAACAAATAAATTTACCCAATTTTATAAAAATGTGTCTATAAATAAGGAAAACACAATAATTAAAAATCTTCGCTTTGGAATAACTTGAGGTTTTTTAATTTACATTTTTTAATTTTCTCCGTAACCAATAACTGTAAAAACATTTTAATGTTCTAAATTATTTGTTTTTAAGCTCTACAAAATTCTTTAATGATACAATTGTAAAATTGTAAGTTTTGAGGGTTAAAAATGAAAAAAAATATTCTTACTGGCAAAATACCTATAAGGCAACCGTTCCTATGGCCTTATCATGCCGATCATGCTTCGCGATCTCGTTTTAATAAATAAATGTACGTTTACATGATTCAATGATTTATTTGACCATCAAGCAAAACTAATAGGCTAAGTCACTTACAATACAAAGTAAATGATAAATAGTCCATCTCTTGATTCACAAATAAAAGTAATGTTTGTACTAAATCCCACTAAATCGGATGATTTTTGGTAATCATCGTGCTAACGGACGATAATAACTTTTTTAGATACAGTTTAGTAACATCTTTAGTTTTTTTTTTTTTTTATACAGGGTCTCAAAAAAACTCACCTAGTTTGAAAATTTATTTATTTATTGTACTAGATACAAACTACTGTTCAACGACTGATACCATAGAGAAGGCTATGCTGATACATTAAATGAAAGGTAATAAAATAAAAGTTATTTTAACACTATCACACCTCAATATGCGAACCATTTGTAGCCCTGCAGACATGCAAGCTATTTTTACTCATTTTATCATTAATATTTTATTATTTGTATTATAATTTATTAACAAAACTATGTTCAAGGTCAAATAGCTTACGCAACTTATTGCCAACGTACGAAACTAAAACTTTGAAGTATACTCTACACAGCACGAAATTATTATTACTCATCCATTTTAACAATAGTATCGTGAGGTATGTTTAAAACTATGGAGTCTTTTTCGGACACCTGGTATAGGCCTATATACATATATATATGTTATAACAATTTGAACCAACTGTATTTTTGGCCTCTAGGAATACCAAAATGAAAAAGTAAATTAGTCCCGGATCTAGGTCTTACCATGAGACCTACTGTAATAGCGTATTCCCTATAAAGGAAATTTGCTAATAATCAGCATATCATTTATATTGAATGGTGTGTGTTGAGGAAATCTTTTCATCAATTTCGTTGTCTCGAGCAATGCGATAATGGCGCACGTCAACATGTTGCTCACTGTTAATGTTCAACTGACGTCATTTTTTATAATATTTCTCAACTTCCTACAGATTTGATGAGGACGGGTCATCCCAAGCGCCCATCAAGTTACAAAATTTTGTCTGTTATCCCTCGTCCTCGAGTCAATCCATCAGGGCTTTTCATTGTCTTTATGAGGGCCTGTTCGATGGTCTAATCAGACCAAATTCCACACCAGAACATGTCTGTACGTCTTGTAGTGAAATTTCCGATCTTTGTGAATTTTTTGTGTTCTTCAATATCAATCCTGTATTTCAATTCATATTCAGCATGTCCTGTATAGATGGGCGCACTTGGCGTGGAAACATTACCCGCTGCATGGAAGATCTGTAGAGTGATTGTAATTGGAAGATCTTTTTTGCCTGATCTTTCAGCCTCAATAAACTGTTAACTATGTTAAACTGTTTTATTTTGTTTTCATGTGAAAGTATTGTACCCAAAGCTTAGCTTAAATGTTTATGCATAAACATTTGATAGCTTTGGGAAGAGTAGTTTTGCCGTTGAAGGTATATTTTGAAGGTCTGTTTGTCGGCATGTAAACCTACATTTATTAAAACGAGTTCGCGAAGCATGATCAGGCCATGGGAACGGTTGCTTTATAGGGTTTTTTTTAAGATCGGGTTTTTCGTATTTTTGACCCACAAAACATTTACAATGTATCTCTAAACCTTTTTGTAGAGCTTAAAAACAAATAATTTAGAACATTAAAATGTTTTTTTACAGTTATTGGTTACGGAGAAAATTAAGAAATGTAAATTAAAAAACCTCAAGTTATTCCAAAGCGAAGATTTTTAATTATTGTGTTTTCCTTATTTATAGACACATTTTTATAAAATTGGGTAAATTTATTTGTTTCTTATCATACTATTATTATTTTACTAAAATATATACAGTACTATATTACCCTACCTGTAGCAGCAAACCTAGGTACTAGTTAAACCTAATGTTATTTAATAGGTTTGTTAAAATCAAATCAAGCAAATGGAAATTCGCTTAGTATGCAGGTTTGCTGAGGTGGGGGTATTTTTATTCATACTTTCATTTATTTTCTAATAATAGCAAATAAACTGGCATACTCTCTAAATCAATACGGTGTTTGCTTCAAACAACTATATTGTGGAAATATTGTAAAAAATCACAATTTTTATACGTCTTTGGAAAAATTTATTTATTTTGATGGTCTGTATTTTGACCATTATTTACGCTACATACTTGCTGTTGGGCTTAAACTGTCACAAATTTATTCTTCTTTGATGTAATAATATAAAATTTTCGGTAAAATCAACGGTTCGCGAGAACAAGTGAAAAACAATAGGAATTGCCATATTTATGATATTTCGATAACAAGTGGCGCGCCCCACGGCGAGCGGCAGTATCTCGAGGTGGATAACTTGGATTTTATGTTATGGGCCCAATACTAACAACATATCAAAAAATCAGAACTACCCGACCTTTTGCACAGCAACCCCTATATTTTCTGACAGATTTACTGGACTAATAGATTATTTAAATGAAATGTTTGTATACTATATCCAACATATACAGTTTATAACAGTTTGCGACATACGTTTAAAACAGTGCTAGAACTGTAACTGTCATTAAACCTCTAAAGAAGCCCATGAAAGGGGCAAAATATCAGTTTAAATGTGTCTCTTATTTGTGTAATTTTTAATTCCTGGGACTCTTCCTTCAGGTGAGTTAGTTGTGTATCCTTCCTTTATTCTTAACAAGTGAATGAGCTAAGAACTCCATGTTTAGTTGTATACTATGTATACATTCAACATAGTATTACCCACCTTACAGTCTGTGGGTTATCGGTAAAAAATGAATGAATGAAAACACTGCTTTATTCAACGAAAATAATCATCACAAACCTAGGCTCCTCGCAGGAAGCCCCATTTCTGAACAAGTGCAAGTTTGGCCAAGTTGTTTTTTCCCATCAAAAATTATCTAGATGAATGAATATTTTCCATGTAACACCCTCTTTACAGGAGTGACTTTATGAAAAATGTCGCTACTTTCATATATTGTATAAAGAAATAGATGTGTACTAATTAGGTTTCATTCAGTTTAAAATTTGCAGGTAGAAACATACTCGCCAACTCTCAAAGAAGAAATCACTGAGCTACAAACACTCTTGAAGGTACTGAGTTCAGCCCAACTTCCGTCCTTGGCAAAAAATACAAAAAAGCCTAAAGCTCTTCGTCAGTATGAACCATCATTCCATACTGTGTAAGTATTAGAAGTAATTTGTATTTAACTTCACATTGGTCTAATTGTTCTAAATTCACTAAATTAATCTCAAAAATTTTTGAAGTTATTTGTATACCAAACAATACATATAAAAATATCATTGGATATACTTACATGGTTTAGTTCTACAAGTGATTTTGGGCCCTTTAGCACGATGATAATGTATACTTCTTATGTATTCAAACTTGTCCTGGCTACAATATTTGTCAATAAATTGTTCATCCTGCGACACAATTAAATATTATTGTTGGGTTTTTTCATAAGTAATAATTCTAATTTATTTAATGTTAAAATATTTTTGTTGGTACTGATTTAAGCTCAAACATAGAATAACATAATAATTTTCACTAAATGAAATGGAGCCATTCCCAAATAACATGCATTTGATAGAGGAAAATAAGGTTTTTTGTTATTTACACAAAAAATAAAAGAGATATGAAGTAAGTGTAAATTGAAAAGTTGTTAAGAATTAAAAAGCCTATAAAATGATGTGCCACTAGACATATGTTGCTATTTGAACATTTTGAAAAATGGGCAGTTTCAACATTTTTTTAATGAAATTTTTGGGAATTTTTATTATTTCAAAAAAACTTTACTTGTAGCATATCACAGTAAAGCTAATTTCATAATGAGTAAGAAAATTCAACCGGAGAAGGGCTTAGTGCATTGGTATAGGAAGCACAGAATATTAAGAGAATTTTTTGTTTTTTCCAAAAAAAACTGCCACCATTTTGAAACGTCTTTTACTTTTGACTGTGCGGTATGAACATTTAATAGTTAGTTTTATCTTGATTAAGTTTTAGTCCATTAACTTAAAACCAGCTGGACAGTTCATAGTAAGTTTGATTAGTTTTATGCTCCAATTCAAAATGGGACCTAGCTTTGATGATTGTTGTTGTTGTGTTGTTTTTTCTGCTTATAGAATGGTTTTTGTTGAAACATTCCTAGGTAAATCATTTATATATAGTAAAATTAAAAAGAGCAAAGGTCCTAAGATAGACCCTTGTGGAACACCTATTTTAATGTTCTCCCAATGAGACTTTGATACTAAATAATTTTTCAAAATTACAGTGCATTGGAACCGGTTTTCTAGGTATGATTTTATCCATGTAATTGATTTCATTGAACATTTGTACACATCAAGCTTTTTAAAAGTATGCTATGGTTAACACAATCAAAGGCCTTGGAAAGGTCACAGGAGACACCCATGATACTGACCCATCCAGAGCAAGTTCGTTTGTTGCCCCTACTGTACTGTGACCTTTTCTAAATCCAAATTGCTCAGCGTCCAGAATTGAGTGTGCCTCTAGAAATTTGATTAAGTGCTATGCTATTTTTTCAAAATTTTGGAAAAAGAAGGAAGAACTGAAATGGGACGATAATTATCAGGATTTTGTTTTTGTCCTCTCTTGAAAAGAGGATTTACTTCTGAATACTTAAAATTTGTAGGAAAAACAGAAATTTGGAAAGATTGATTTATTAAAACCGATATTGGAACAGAAATAGAGTGCATTACTTTTTTCACAATTTCAAACGGTATTTCATCCCATCCTGCAGATTATTTATTTTTTAATAACCGGAACTTAATTGTTTTAATAACATCATCTGCAGTTACATTTGTGAAACTAAATTTTACTTGATTTAAATCAAAGTCAGTCTGCTGAGTTAAGATTAATGCTTCCTGCTCACAAGGTTGAACACTGTACTAATATCATTGCTCAGTTCAATAATTTTTTTTTGTTGGAAAAACTAGCTATAACATCTCCATTTTTGATAGGCATACTGTTATCTATTACAATATCAGGGAATTTAAGACAAGGTTTATTACAACCAAGCTCAGATTTCACAACTTTACGGCAGCTTTACTCTTATTTTCTGAATTTTTTATAAGACTAGAATTATAAATTTCCTTTCACAATTTACAAACATTACTGAAGAACTTTTAGCGAATTTCCCTATAGGAAGTAGCTATTACCGTAGGTGGCACGGTAAGACCTAGGCCCGGGACCGATTTACTTTTTCATTTTGATGTCGCCAGAGGCCAAAAACACTATTCGTTCAAATTTTTATATATGTATATATATATATATAGATTTATTTATATATATATATACGTCCGTGAACGCGATAACTTGAGTAATTTTAGTCCGATTTTGATGAAATTTGGTTTGAAGGTGTAAGGCGGGATAAACTTGAATGAGTTTGCGAACCAGCATGATCGGACCATGGGAACAGTGTTTTACGGTTGCTTTTATGGGGTAAAAATGGTTTTTCTCATTTTTGACCCTCAAAACACAAAATTTCTCAATTTCTCTCTAGACCTTGTTAAAGAGCTTAAAAAAACAAATAATTTAGTATGTCAAAGTGTTTTTGTACGGTTATTGGTAACGGAGAAAATTCAAAAAATTGTAAATTCAAAATTCCCATGTTATTCTTATGGAGAATATTGTAAAATGATGTAGTTTGCTTGTTTATTGATATATTTGGATTAAACTTGGCCAATTTATTATTTTATACTAAGCTATTAATATTTTACTAAAACACTCGCATAATTAGTTTCCTTGTAGCAGCAAACCTAGGTACTCATTAAACCTAATTTTATTTAAATAGATTTTATCAAAAGTCAGTTCAGACACATGGAAATTTGCTTAGTCGGCAGGTATGCTGCGGTGGGGGTATTTTATACATTTTATATATACAGTATCCTTTGTTGGGAAACTTATTTTATTACTTAACATACCGTGCATTTTAAATCCTAAACAAAGTCAAAACACTTAAATACAAACATGGCATCCATCAGAAGGTCTTGTTGATTAGCAAAATATACAGCAGTTTAAACACCTCTTTTACAATGTTATCATTACCTATATATAATCCTTGCAAACCATACGCTACGCATCGATTTATATAGGCCTACTACCGGGGAGTATTATACATTGATGATCATAATATGCTGAAATTCAACACGCAATCAATTAAAACAATACTATACAACTGACACAAGTCCAAGACAAGAACCAGGCAACTACATATTAGGACAAATCATATGGATCGTCAAACTATAATTATTTTATATCTAAAAGGGATCAGCCTCAGCAGTGTGATGTGTATAGTCAGTCGTCAGCTGTCGGTTTTGTTGTTTGTCTTATATTGACAACTGGTCCGTGTCTCAAGATAATCAGGCTAACACCTGTTTGTGTCAAGTAACATGCACGGGTAGTGACATTAGACAGTGCTTGCCATTTTTCAAAATGGTTCGTTCTTTGCTCTTTTCCTACAATGTGTGATCTTTGTAGCTACCCTTAATTATATAATGAGACACAGGGGAGTTATAGCATTGACTTTATGGTTATAGTTTGATATTTTGATTAAAATAAAATCCATAAAATACGAATGGCTATAAAATAAGATGCCGTTTTGGTTGTTTCGTGTATTTTTTTAATAATTATAAAATATAAATTACATTCATTGTTTGACGAAACTGATTTCATTTTCACAGGTTCCCGGTCTTACAAAACCTACTGCCTCAAACAAATTTGTGTTTTCATTCAGGTGGTTCGAGAGATCCCTGTCGTGGCTATCGGCACACAAAAGCACTTTTATTTTGTCCTGATTTTTTTGTTTGACATTAACTTATTGGTTACAGTTTTATTGGATGGTTTCATGATTGTGGATGGAACTTTTTCTATGACATCTTCTTGACTGTACTCGTGGATTTTAGATAGAGCATCAAAGCGATTGTTGAGATTGATTGTGTACTTGTGGTTATTTTAACTGGAGATTGCCTTTTTTAGCGAATTTCCCATATAGGGAATAAGCTATTACCGTAGTACTCATGGTAAGACCTGGACGCGGGACCGATTTTTTTGTTTGTTTTGAGGTCCCTAGAGGCCAAAAACACCATTTGTTCAAATTCATATATATATATATTTATATATTTATATATTTATATATTTATATATTTATATATTTATATATTTATATATATATATATATATATATATGTGTCCGTTAGCACGATAACTCGAGCAAAAATGATCCGATTTTGATGAAATTTGGTACAAACGTGTAAACCTACGTTTATTTGAACGAGTTCGCGATCCAGCATGATCGGACCATGGGAACGGGGATTTATGGGGGGTTTTATGGGGTAAAAATAGGTTTTTCCCATTTTTGACTCAAAAAACATAAAATTTTGCAATTTCTTTCTAAACCATTTTGTAGAGCTTAAAAAAACAAATAATTTAGTATATTGAAGCGTTATTATGCGCCTAATTGTTACGGAGAAAATTTCAAAAAATTGTAAATTTAAAATTCCCATGTTATTCTTATGGAGAATAAATAAACTGTTGTAGTTTGCTTGTTTATGAACATATTTTGATCAAATTTGGAAAATTTTTTATTTCTTTACTAACTATTAACATTTTACAAAAAAAAACAAACAGTTTTACCCTCCCTGATGCAGCAAACCTAAGTACTTTTTAAACTAATTCTATTTAAATCGGGAATAAATGTTATATTTTTAAGTAGACATTTCAGTGTAAATCCAATCAGTCAAATGGAAATTCGCTTAGTCTGCAGGTTTGCTGCGGCGGGGGTATTTTAGATTTTCACTTCCTGCCAGTCAGATAAGCTTTCAGATTCAGCCCTAATGCTTGATTTAGTAGCTAGAGGGGAAAGCAACATAAACAAGAAGATTTAACATTTTCCATAGAGTGTAGTTTTTTTCTAGATTATTATTTTCAGTTGTTAAGAGTGATTTAATAGTTTCTAATGTTCTTATTGATGACATCATGTTGTTTGTTTCTTCTCTAAGTATTTTACACTCCATGCATTTGTAATTTACTGTTGTTGTATTAGAAGTTACGCTATTCTTCTTTTGCACACGTTTTATCTTTTGCACACGTTTTGCTGTGGCAGGGGTATTTTTGTTTATGTTTTGTTTTATTTTTGTTATTTTTCCACTAATTCTTTCAAATGATTACAGGTAATTGGATTGGCCATGATGGTTTATAGTAACTCAACAGTTGACTCAACAGTTTTGGCATTTTTATTCATCTTTATAACTTCATTGTTTACATTGCATGCAGTTCGAATTCATATGTAATATATAAATTGAACCACCAGTAGAATAGACCTGAACACTGAAGTTCTGGATGAAAAGACTTATTTATTTAATTTAAAACTTGTACATATCCCTTGTTTTGTTACATATCTGGTTACCTTGTTTTGTTACTTATCTGGTTACCTTGTTTTGTTACTTATCTGGTTACCTTGTTTTGTTACATATCTGGTTACCTTGTTTTGTTACTTATCTGGTTACCTTGTTTTGTTACATAAAAAATGTTTTTTTTTTAATAAATTTTATGATAATGTATTGTTTTTGTTTTTTTTCTTTTTTTAATTCTCTAAAATTGTTTCTCAAACAATTCGGTTTGAATATAATTTCAATGAAAAGTTTCTTATTTTGAAACCGATACTTTTTTTTGTCACTGTGTTTTCTAGTATATTTTTACATTCCATATTCCAATCTTATAAGTTAAAATAAAACTACTTATATTTGACTTTATGTCTCTTAATTTTCTGTTGAGATTTTCATTAAATAGATTCTGCTCCAAGTGCACGAGATCTAGGTACAATCAATGGGACCTGGATAGTTGGATGGCTCCAATAGTTCAGGGCATTTATCAGAATGGACAGGGTTGTGGATATATTAAAAATATTGGGGGAAATGCCATATATGATTAATATACTTCTATGCCACCAATACCAATGAATTACATAACAGCACTAAACACTAAAGAAAAGACTTTTAGGAACCTGCATCTATCTCTGCAAACACAATGATTTGTTTTCAACTTGTTGGTGACTGTACTGTACTGTAATATATGCATATTAATTTATAACATATTTTATATTTGTTTTGGCAACAGTGATATAACAGATGATTCAGTTAAATAAATTAATACTGTTGGTTGAGCATTACACCAATCACCGATAGTGTACAATCCGCTACCTGTCCGGTATGATGATCCTTCCGTTCGCTCTGAGTTGCCTGCCACCTACACCGACTTCACCATGTAACGTATCCCTTCAGTGGTGTACCAGATTTTTTCGGGCCCCCTGCAAACTTTTTTTGGCCCCCTCCCTGAGTTATTTTTGGACCACCAGTAAACATAATCAAACACCCTGCCCCCTCACCCCTAAGTTTTTTTTTTTGACCACCGATACAATGATCAAACAGTTGTACATCTTCAGTTGTCTAAACGCTAGTTATATGGACAGGGGGTAAAATTCCGGTTTTTATTGCTAATCTAATTAATCACGCTTTGTCTATTTTCATTAGACTTTCAAATCCGCAGGGATAAAATTCCGCCTTGTACACTCTAGGTTTTTATAATTTGATGTGTTCTGATTAAATTCACAACCGTGAAAATATATGTTTAATCCATCGAACTGATGTCGCGAACTTTGAGTTTCACGACATCAGTTCGATGGATTTGGCCGGAATTTTACCCCCTGGTTTGTGACGTCACGTTTGGCGAGGGGGTAAAATTCCAGAGGGATAAGAATCCGCTACCCCGGAATCATTACTAGCACAGATTTCTAACTAAAGAGTCATTAAAGAGCTCACAGCAAGCGTGGCTCACCCTTTTTGATATATTTTATGAGTTCCCTCATCAAGCTCCCGTATCATGATTTGGACCATGCCGATTGAATATATACAAGTATGATGGTCAGAAGTTTGCCAAAGTAATCTTGTTGGAAGCGTCGGTGAATCTTGCTGTACCTGTTTTTTTTTTCTTTAAAAAAAAGAGGTTGGCGGCCTCTTTTAACCTTGCATTTGCCCGTCCACATAGACTAAGCGCCCGTGCGTGGATCGTTTACAGCAAAGCAAGGAGTGAGTATCCCTGTTATTTTGCTAAAAGCAGTAAAATTTGAACTTGGTCAAGTTTTATGCCACTTAGTTAATTCTTCTTTTATATCAGGACATTTTCCAACCCAATTAAAAATAGCTAAAATTATTCCCATACATAAAAAAATGACGAAAAAATCCATCAAATTATCGGCCGCTATCTCTATTACCAACTTTATCTCAAATTTATGAAAAGGCAGTTTACATACAACTAACACATTTTCTTGAAGAACACCATCTCGTGGATAGCTCCCAACATGGGTTTTGTAGCGGGAAATCAGTGACAACTGCTAGTGTTTCTTTTATTGAATCAGTGATAGACTTAATAGATGCTGGTGAACCATGTGTTGGAATTTTGTATGGACCTGTCGAAGGCTTTTGACACTGTGGATCATGAAATTCTTCTTGCTAAGTTAAAATTACTCGGCTTGGATCCTCATTCCTTGAATTGGTTTAGTTCATACCTAAATAATAGATATCAGTTTGTTCAGATTACTCATTTAGCCAAAAACAATAGAATTATAAATCATAAATCAGAATTGAAACCAGTAAAGTTTGGTGTGCCTGAGGGATCTGTGCTGGGACCACTCTTATTTATATGTTATTTGAAAGATATTTCTAAATCATTATCAAACTCAGATAACACAAACCTCTGCCTATATGCTGATGATTCAAATCTTAAAGTATCTGGTAATAATTTAGAACAGGTAGAAATTTTATCATTCACTGAAATAGGAAATATGATTACTTTTTTTGAAAATCACAACCTCCACTTAAATATTGAGAAAACTAACTACATTTAATTTAAAACAGCCATTGAGCTTGTCACAAGTACAAAATTTCTTGGTCTAACAATAGATAATAACTTGGATTGGAATAAGCATGTAGACAACATTTTAGCTAAAATCAATTCTGGCATGTACGCACTAAGAAGAATGGCAGGGATGTGCAGTGAATCCACTCTTAAAATTATTTGCCATTCATACATTCATTCACACATTTCATTTTGAATTTGTCTGTATGGCTCATCTAAATTAGAAAATCTAGATAAAATACTTAAAGAACAAAAGAAAGCGATTAGAATAATAAAAAACCTACATCCAGGTACATCATGCAGGGAACATTTTAAAATGCTAAACATATTAACAGTTTATGGTCAGTTTATTTTAGACACTATTATGATATTTTTAAACAATAAGAAGGATACAATTTTAGAACAAGAAACATACCATTACAACACGCGAAAAAAGAATGAAATCATACCCACTCACCATAGACTTGAATTTTACACAAAGAAGCCATCTTACAAAGGAGCAAGTTATTTCAGAAAATTGCCAAAAGAATTAAAGTGTCAAATAAACAGTTCCAAATTTAAACTAAAACTAAAAACTTACTTGGTTTGCAAAGTATTATATTCCATAGAAGAGTATATGAATAATTAAGCAAATGTTAATTTAAATAGCTAAGTTGACACTATTCAGATGTACTAACATGTACTTGTCTTGTACGAATAAAGATATTTTGATTTGATTTACTTGTTTATGAACATATTTTGATCGAATTTGGAAAATACATTCATTTCTTACTAAACTACTATAAAAAAACACATTTTTACCCTCCCTGTTGCAGCAAACCTTAGTACTCGTTAAACTAATTCTATTTAAATAGGGAATAAATATAATATTTTTAAGGAGGCATTTTAATGTGAAATCCTATCAGGCTAATGGAAATTCGCTTAGTCTGCAGGTTTGCTGCGGCGGGGGTATTTATAATTTTTGAAATGATTAATAAAATTTATATCATTTTACTGCTTTGCTAGTCTACTTAGCTCTTTCTTAATGCTTGATATCCTATTACCATTTGTTATCCACTTTTTTGTTTGAAGGTTTACCCTTACTACTAAAAAATTTCAAAGGAAAGCATTCATCAAAAATTCTTTGAAAACAACCAAAAAAAAATCAAACAGTTTATCTTAAAAGTTTTACTTGTTGAAACTTGCCAAATGGTAATATTGATTTTGTAAATGAATTAATTATAGTTTTTACTAGAAGAAATTTGTCTAAATATTTCTAGAAATATCTATGAGGATTGCCCTAAGATCTGATATACGTAGTTCTAGGTTCATTGATGGAGATTCTTCACATGATTTCAACTTTAGTGATAATATATTATCAATACAAGAAGCTTTGTTGTTTGTTATCCTTGAGGGGGAAGTAAAGTTTGTAATGAAACCGTAGTTGGTGAGTCGGTAGCGTCACAGACTTCTGGCCCAAGGCAGCTATGTTGTGGGTTCGGATTCTGGTCACTCTGCTACTTTTTTATCACCTTGCTTTGCTGTATACGTTCCACGCACGGGTCCGTATCTTTTATCTAAAGTTTATTACTCCATAACGGATTATTTAAATCACAATGATCCATAAAGATAATTTATACTATATCTGAACCTATTTTTAATATTATTTATTTATTTCAAAGAATATTGACAATGTCACCTGTTTCTCCAGCTGTGCTGGAACACTGGAAATGTACATTTATTGTGACAATAAAGTTATATTCTATTCTATCTATCTCAAGTTCAAAATGCTAAAAATAAACTTTGACAATACCCTACAGTCCTTCGTTATTACCACAATTCCCATAGCTAATTGTTTTCTTTTAATTCACTTATTCAGATTGAAAAATATTTTTGTATAATCAATGTATGTAAGTGTATATAATCTTTTTCTTCTGTAAGTGTGCTTGTATTTTGAATATTGTTACAATATTGCTTTCTGTGAAACCGTTACATGATTTGTTTCTTAAACCATTTACCTTTGGTCTAAACCTTCACAGGTAAAATAAACAAGTTATCAAGCAGATGATTTAATTTTTACAAAATAAATTAGAATTTAATTTGATTTTGTAATACTTACAAGAACTTAAACATTGCAGGACGATCGGTAAGTCACAGAGAGGCCTCCCAGCAGAGATACAAGAGGAACAGAAATTGTTACACAAGTACAAGCATGAGATGAAAGGAGCTATGAGAGAGCTGCGTCGAGATCGCGTGTTCTTAGCCAATGTCAAACTGAGGGAAAAAGCACTCAGGTATATCATTACACCCATACGTTGTTATTTTATCATTTACCTAAAGAACATTTGATTCTAATGTCACAGTATTTCTGGGTGTTTCTTTAATGTAAGAGATGAGTTGCATTGGCAAAAATATTTTTATAGATCATGCTCATATACCATTCTGCACTAGGAGAATGAAAACCTATTTTTTTGTTTTCGAAATTATGGAAATATTCTACTCTATTTCCTTTGTTTCTGGTCATTGATTGATCCTTTATCCAGTTGGAGCAGATGCAAATCAATTGTCATGGTGTGTTTTTTTACTTATTGGTTAATGCCTCAAACTTTGATGTGACATAGACAGGTTCAATCCCTAGCATATCCAGAAAATTGATGCATTTGGATTGCTTTCCCACTTTTTGTGAACTACTTAACTTCAAATGCCACTTGCGTTGCATGAAATATTTTAAATCCTTTATCGATCAAATTAAGTCTTAAATAAAATAATTTGTTGTGATTGAAAGTTGTTAATAACAATGCAAAAATTTGCTTTCATGGAAGTTTATCTGTAAAAAAATCTGGAAATAAGAGATCAAGAACACAATTATTTCAATCAACATACCCTTGTGTTACATCTGGTCTTTATTGTGATACGTAATTGATATATTACATACCTTTCACTTCATATAAGCTGGTAAAATGGTTTCCATAAGGACGCCAAAGGGTGAGTCGGTAGCTGACGGTCTGAGAAACCAAAGCAGCAATGACTTGGGTTCGTATCACAGTGTTGCTGATTAAAAACAATATTTATGCAGTCCATTCTTGTACTGTATCGGATCATCCCTTGTTTTGCTTTGTACTTTCCACAAACAGGCCTTTGAGGCCAATGTGGTCTGCCAACTTCAAGATATTTCTTGTATGGGATAAATGAAGTAGCAACTTGATAATTCTGTTACACTTTACAAATTTTTGTTCATGTTGAGTCATATTATTAGGGAGGACTAATCAGGAAATTTATTTTTCTAGTGATGAACAAAGAATGAAGAAGGTGAAGGAAATATTCAGTTCAGGAGCTGCCCAGCAAGGGGAACTGAGGAGTTTGAAACGGAAAAAGTAATCGTTGATGTGATAAAATAATTGCATGTTTGACATACATGTATTTATCACAAGTCCAAAAAATTTAGGTTTTGTTAGCAAAAGATGTTATGGTTTTAAGTTTAATCTTTTTCAGTTTTATTTCTATTCTCATACAAATTATTCTATACGTGGACAAATTGTGATAATTTCTTGGATTATTTATACTTTAAAAATCATATTTAGTTTTTTAATTAAGTATAAATTTTTATGTATCTATACAATTTTTTAAATTTATACAAATCAAAGTTAATTGTTCAGGGACAACCTCATCATTGTAAAATATTTTACTGTACTTTTTAATATAAACCAAATATTTTATGTTTGCGTTAACTATTTACCTTTTTTATATACAGTTCAAATTCATTGCCAAATAAATCCATTTATGAGTAATTAAAAACTAAATGTTTACTTTATGGTTTGAATTGTAACTTTGCAATTTAAATGTCAATCATACAATAACCTTAAGGGGGTTTTCCACACAGATCACTTGATTTCCCTCTTACCAAACAGACATTAACAGTTGGCTCTCGATAATCTGATATTTACTAAGCCGACACGCTCGGTAGTCCGACGCACCATCTGGTGATGGTGTAGTACAGAACTTTTCTGTACTGTACAAGTGTTTCATGTCGTGCTAGAGGCATCTATTTATTGACCACTGTTGATCCGCCCCCAGTTGACTTGATTTTAACAATCCGACACTACGCTCGTCCCATAGGTGTCGGATTAACAAGAGTCAACTGTATTGCACAATCAACTGTGAGTTAATATTTTCTAAGGGCATATCTTAAAGCCTCAAATCTGGCACAAACGTATAAAACATTCTTTTGGCTGCCATCACAATTTAAGTCTTGCTACTTGCCTCAAAATATTTTAATAGAGTCAAGAATGGCACACTGAATCACAGACAATGTGGCTCATAAAGTACTTCTTACGTTAATAATTTTGGGATTGCCCTAAAAATACCAGTAATATGAATAAGAATATTTATTTTCTCCCACAATTATTACAATAATTGCGTTACAAGTTTGTGCACTCCATTTACCCTGCAGAGTGTTGGGTTCCAGAATCCAGTTACAGTAAATACCTCCATATTTACTTTAAAATAAACACACACATATATATATATATATACACATATATAAGGCATCTGAAATGAATCAAACGTTTTTAATATGTATATTTTATTGGTCCCTTATTAAATAACAACAAAATAAAATCTTCAAAATTTTAACCATAATAACTATATATATATATATATATATATATATATATATATACAGTAAATAATTTTCTGTATCTGATTAGACTTTTCATAGTACAAAAATAATATAACAACATGGAAAAATATATAGCTCTCAGTTAAAACCCATCAGCATATCTCAGATATGTCAGTACTCGCTGATTCCAATTGCTTCACCGACTTGTAACAGGTACTGGCTCTTCAGTGGCATAAAGTACTTCTTGAGACTGTCCACTGACTCACACTGTAAAAGAAACAAAACTCATCAAAAATATTGCCACACAAGTGGTGAAATGTCAATCAAACTCCATACATCCTTCAAGAATCCTGGCAATCATAAGGAAAACTATATATCATCTCGACATGCAACAATAGTTCCAGTGAATTTAGTGATCACTAGAAACTTGGTCTAATTGACATTTGAGGATTAATAATATTAATATTGATTATTCAGTGAAGGTGTTTAACAGGTTAAACTAGATGATATGGAATTTAAAACTGATATAAATAAATTCTTACGGTGATAAAACTATTTACTGTAATAATGAAGTATTTTAATATCATGGTAAGATTGTGCAGTTAATATATCAAATAATACCTTTTGTTAGAAAATTAAGTTAAAAAAATCAGCTAAATATTAAAAAGGACAGAACAAACCTCTAAACAAAATTGCGAAGTAATTGCTCGGAAATACAAGGAGTCCTGTATTCTATAATAGAGTAGGGGTAATTTTTGTGTAATGAGGCTCAGGCATTGAATGTTCATTGTAAGAGTGATTGGTCTTTGGTACCCAGCTTGATCCAACATTCCTCGAAAGGATTATTCTAAAAATCCAATATACAGTTTATACCAATGTACAGTCTCGATGTTAAAGAAACGAGAACCAAAACTCAAGTACGGTAAAAATACTTCTTATCAGCTGGTCTCAAGTATAACAGCGGCCAACAGAAAAATCATGAGCCTATATGGAAAGCCACGAGGGCTTTTAAGGATTTAAATCAGTTTAAAATATGCATGAATGACTAGTGCAAAGGAACTATTCAGGAACTATACATTTTTGTTGGACTTACTTGAAATAGTTATCCAATAATAGTGCTGGACTATTCTATGAGCTTAAAGTCCCTTTAAATAAACAACACTATACAGTGACCTGTATTGTCATTTACCAAAACATCACGATAATTTAAAGATGTAGGTGGTTCTGTATTTAAATAAAAAAATGGTGTGTACACTTACAGTAGGCTCCGTAATGTTATAGTGTGAAAGAGGCACAACTGGTTTGTCTTCATCATACCACAGTTTTTCTCTGAATCTTCTTTCTACAGGGAAGATGTGGCCTTCTGTGCTAAATATGTACTTGTCAAAGTTCTTATTCACATGGTTGTCCTTATCAAACAACTGAAACAAAATTCCCTTCAGAATATTCAATAGAAGATACTCATCCTATAAATATTTCATACCCACTGATAAAAATTTAGGATTGTTGGGGCTACACAAAATGTTTTATAAACCAGACCGAAGTAATATTTTTGACTATTGATTGAAGTAGATATTCCATTCCCGTGTTACAGAACTGAGCCACCGACATAGTGTGTTCAATGCACCAGCCTAAACAACTTACTACAAATTAAAGCATATATGTCATGACATATCAATTTCAAAAAAAAATACATAATAAAAGTAAGAGAGAAAGTAGAATTATGACAGTAGCGCACTGTGAGTGCTCATTTAACTATGTTCTAATTGTATATCAAATCGGCTACAGTTATCTAAAATTATTAATAAATTTATAACAGCTCTGAAATATTTACTAACCTATTATGCATTAAACAATATGGAGATTACAACGCGGAGAGGACTTGGGAGATTGGGATTGGAGATGGAAGAAGATTCTCAACTTGAAGACTGAAACTAATACAAGATTTATACATAATTTGTCTTCAGGATTGATTAATTGACAATAAAATAAGGTTACTCAATTCAATCCTCTGTCGTCAATCAATCCTATGATTGTCGTAGATGACTATAATTTCGGGGTTAAAACCCCATTTTCAAATCTTTCTCTTCAGTCGTCAATTGTCTGGTTTTGTCAGTTCAATAGTCAATAAACTACATGATGGTTTTGTCCTTGGCTGGCCTCGCACGCTTGTATATCATTTTGTAAATCTAAATGTTTCTGTTTCTGTATTGTGTGAAGTATTTTTGATGACGGCATAAGTTTGAAGATATGTTTGACAATTGACGACTGAAGAGAAAGATTTGAAAATGGGGTTTTAACCCTGAAACTATAGCCATCTACGATAAAATATAGGATTGATTAACGACAGGTTATAGTAACCTTATTTCATTGTTAATACAAGATCTTAACGTTTTATATGTATATACTTGTCAAATAAATTGAAATTCTTGTTCATCTCTCTCAAATTATTCAATCTTCACTCACATAATTATAATCATTAATCATATTCATAATTTAAAAATTAGTAATTTGAAACCTGTATAATTTATTGTTAAAAAAGTTTTGTTACTTGCAAACAATACTATAGATAATATAATCCAAGGATATAATTAATCTCACACGCATATTTTTTACAATTAAACCTGTAATCAAATTAAAGTGGTTTAAATACCTGTAATGTCGACAATCCCAAGTGGTTGTGTAACAACTAGTTTCGGCTCATAATGGAGCCATCTTCAGGTTTTTCAAGGACATTATCACTTCTTCCGAAGGTCGTCAAAGTTCACAAATAATTTACATACACAAAACATTTAAAAACACGTAACACGCATGCCTGGGCCTAGCTTCAACGACGTGTTCTCTTTAACGGAAACAGCAGGCAGTTGACCCTATTAAATACATATTTGTGCAGCATCCATAAAAACATCCAATTTACTCTAGAAGAGGAGAAAAACAGCTCTATCAACTTTCTCGACCTCACCATCGTCAAACAAAATGACCACTTTGAATTTAAAATCTATAGAAAACCGACGTGCACTGACGAAACCATTAATTCAGAGTCACATCATCCATACTCTCAAAAGATGGCTGCATTCAACAGTTTTGTACACAGGTTATTGACATTACCACTGAACGCAAAAGATTATGAAGAGGAATTAAATACCATCAAATACATAGCTGTGAAAAATGGATTCAAAAGTAATATAGTAGATAAACTGGTAGCTAAACATCTGAATAAAGATCAAAACAAAACAAAAGAGCCTAAAACGTTTTTATCGGCTGATTTTGGAACTCATCTAAGTTACAAATTTAAAAATATTATGACCAAGAACAACATCACAGTGGCATTTAAATCGGTTAACAAGCTTGGCTCTAAGTTAAAGGAACGTCCGCTCATATCTACATCAAACTACGACAAGTTTACCAAATTAATTGCAGCGATTGTGATAGTTATTACAAAGGCCAGACATCACGCTCTTTTGCAAAACGTTTTAAGGAACACATCCCCAAGAAAACCACGTCCACACAATCATCAACCTTTGCAGAACATTTAATCACAAACAATCATAGCTATTCCAACATCAACAATAACATGACTGTTCTACATTTTAATAAAAACAAATTTCAGATCAACACGCTAGAAGAATTCGAAATTTATAAGGCAGTCAAATCAGATAAACAAAACGTGCTAAACGATAAGCTTTCATTTGCTTCTAACTTTATTTATAACACTACAATAGAAATAATGGAAAGGGAGAGGGAGAAGAATGATACCCACAAACAACCTTTTACTGATAACGACCATAGTGCCCGGTAGTCTAGACGTAAACTCCCGCCGGTTTGTCGTTAAAGCTAGGCCTAGGCATGTGTGTTACGTGTTTTTAAATGTTTTGTGTATGTAAATCATTTGTGTACTTTGACGACCTTCGGAAGAAGTGATAATGTCCTTGAAAAACCCGAAGATGGCTCCATTATGAGCCGAAACTAGTTGTTACACAACCACTTGGGATTGTCGACATTACAGGTATTTAAACCACTTTAATTGTATCTCGATAATCCGGAGGATACCCATTAAAAAAAAACTGTAATCAAACATTCCTAATATTGGATGATAGAAAAGTTATTAAGTATCCGTTTCAGGAGATCAAACCTGACATTTGCCATGATTTGGTATCTACAAAAAGAACCTAATGAAAACCTATATGCATATGCTTAACAACAACATAACAGTTCAGGTGCACTTACAAGGTAAAGATACTTGACTGTTTCACTGAGGAAGAAGCTTTCCATCCGATCCTCAAGACTCATATCAGATACGCTGTGTACAGTCGCATAACCACAATCTGTTCTGGTAAACTGGTTCAGATTCTCCAAGATTTCTTGGCCCACATGAAGGTAAAATGGACTTTTTGTCGCCTAGAAGTAAAATAAATGTTACATCTTGTGAAAAGACCACTTTTATTCATAAGACATTTATTTTGTTTTTGTTACATGGAAATACAGTAATAACAATAAGTATCTTAATAACTTGAGTTGAGAACTTACTATTTTGGATGTTGAAAAATATTTAACTCCTTTTTTGAAAAATTTAACTCATTTGCTTGCAGAATTTTTACTGGCTGTATTTTTTTTCCAAAATAAAATTTAGAATATATTAATTTATGAGAGTTTATTGTTCAATAATAACAGCAGCAAGCTTCAAATAATAACAGTTATTTCAATCAAAATTGGAGTCATACTATATCCTAAAGTTGGTTTCAATGGTATCAAATAAAGTCATTAATACAGGGGGTCCATGATATAATGGCTGGTATGACAAAATAAGAGGGTATTATTAACTGCTTTAGATCAGGATCTAAAGCAGTTCTCAGTACCAGTAACCTCACAACCTACAGTAGAGCGTCGATTGTCCGAAGCCCAGTCATCCGAGACGTTGATTAACTGAAAGGCCGATCACCCGTGTTTACGAGATCGCGAGAGAGGATCGGTGGTGATGAGGAGATCGCGAGATATGGTTACCGATGTTGCTACAATCAAAGGGGGTAATCAAAACCAGAAAAAAAGTGCAAACGAACATACCTAATTATAAACTTTGCTTATTGAAGCCATCTAACTTTGTCAATTATGAGTGTATTTGTGAATGCAATTTGAAAATAAATAAATGAGCAGGTAATTCTTAAAGTATAGTTTGAAAATGTTCTGTAGGGGCTAGTTTTAGTATGAGGACACTTTGACTATTTTTCTTTTATTTACAAATCCAAAGCCAAGGCAAAGAAAAACTTAAATTAAGCTATTATTACCAGAATGGCCATCCAATCAGGACCTTTTAATGTTACCAGCAATCCAAACCCAAGAGTTTGACATCCGAGTAACGTTAATGAACAAGTAACCTAGCAACCAGCTATCAAGTCCGCTTTGAAGCGCTGCCTACTATATTTGTATTACCTTCTTAATAACTGTCTCTGCTACCACCGACGACGCAATGGATAATGTAATGTAATATGCAGTAGAAGCAACAATACAAACAAGCTAATGCCGAAGCCTACGCACATCCATCTTAACTAAATAAAAACTTATACCTATACTAAATTTAGAGTGGACATTATATACACGGTGTTCAAAAAGGGGTGTCACAAAATTCAGGGGCTGATAGTACTAATCAATCTAAACAAAATAGTTAATAATATAAACATAGGCCGAAAAATATTTTGTTTTGCCGCTAGCCGCTATTTTGTGTTTTTTTTTTACAAAACAATTTATATCTCAAGAATTATTCAAGCAACAGAAACCAAACTTTGCACATACATTATTGTGTCAAGAGGCAATTAAATAAAAAAAAGAATGATTTAATTTTCTTTTAAATTATCAAAATTGCAGCCATTTAAAATCTTTAAAATTAAATTAAATTAAATTAAATATGGCTGACATATTACAAACTTTAATGTTATTTATAAAAGCCCAGAATTATTTTGAATGTAGTTTGGTTGTTATTATAAAATGTTATTATAATATCTTTCCTCTCTTTTAAATCATAAAGCATAGCCTCTAGAGCGTAAAATGTATGCTATAGCATTTGTCGTCTCACAAATCCTTTAAATTGGCCTTTTAAACTACATTATCCAGTCTAAAAACATTTCTTAAGAGTATTCAGGGTGTTAATGTTCAATAACTATTTTCCTTTTTAGCGAATTTCCCATATAGGGAATAAGCTATTACCGTAGGTCTCATAGTAAGACCTTGACCTGGGGCCGATTTACTTTTTCGTTTTGAGGTCCTCAGAGGCCAAAAACACCCTCCATTCAAATTCATATATATATATATATATTATATCTGTCCGTTAGCGCAATAACTCAAGCAAAAATGATCCGATTTTGATGAAATTTGGTACAAACGTGTAAACCTACGTTTATTCGAACAAGTTCCCGAACCATCATGATAGGACTATGGGAACAGGGGTTTATGGGGTAAAAATGAGTTTTTCCCATTTTTACTCTAAAAACATAAAATTTCACAATTTCTTTCCAAGACCATTTTGTAGAGCTTAAAAAAAAGAAATATTTTTGTATATTTAAGCGTTGTTATATGCCTAACGGTTACGGAGATAATAAAAAAAAAAATTAATTTTAAAATTCACATAGGTACTATTCTTATTGAGAATAAAAAACCGTTGCAGTTTGCTTGTTTATGGATATAGCCTACTTTGATACAAATTTGGCAATGTTGTTTATTTCATACTAAGCTATCATCATTTCAATAAAAAAACACGCCTCAATACATTCCCTGTAGCAGCAAAAAAAAGGTACTCATTAAAATTAATGTTAGTTATTTAAATAGGAAATAAAACTGACAATTTTTAGGGCATATTTAAGTAGAAATCTAGCCAGGTAAATGGAAATTCGCTTAGTCTGCAGGTTTGCTGCGGCGAGGGTATTTTAGTTGTATTACGTTTGGATACATTATTATAAGAGTAGTTTTATTATTGTAATTAACTGATTTTGAATAAAAATAACTTGTTCTAAAGGCCTAGCAAAAAACTGTAGCCTTGGCTTGGACAACCTCCCAAACAAATCAAACACCAATGAGCAATGCTCGGTCCCCTGGTACTGTAATTTAAACAAATAAATATGGATTTTTTTAAATCTTAAGACATGTTAATGTGCTTGTTCGTACCTGGTATAGAAGATAAGTGGATTCTATCAATTCGGGCCGGAGAGGGTAGAATGACACATCAGCTGCCAAACTTTTCCAATTCCAACGTTCTGGCAAGACCCCAAAGCGTTTCCAAATCAAATAGTAAAGTGCATGAGTGCAAATAGCCTCATCAATATCACCATTCAGTACCTGATAAACATCAGTGAAAGCCTGATAAACCTTTCAGAAAAACAATTGCTTTCAAACATAGAAATTCCAGGAAAAATAGAATGGAAGCTTTTTAAAACCCTTGATGACAAAACAGTAAAACCTCTATTATTTGTCTGTCACCCATGGGACTGGGACTATGATAGTTAACTGAATAGACGGAAAGTGGGATTTCCTTTATAAACTACTACTATTCGGAAATCACTATAATTTTGGAAAGAAATTACACTATGTAATCATTGATTGAAGTACTCGTGAATTACACATTCATTACATCAACAGTAAATTCATGCTGTATATTATTTAAAAACTGCGGCACTGCAAAACTTACGATAAAGATAGCGAGATTGCATTTTTGAGGCGCCAGGTAACAGAGATTGATGGTTATAACTTATAACTTAAAACAGACTAATTGAGGTTCAACCATAGGTTTGAAAATAATATTTAAAGGTGGAGAAGCTATTATATTTGAAGGTAAAATGTATGTAAAGAGGGGTAAGTGTGGGCAGTGGGGATACAGTAACAGAAAATGTAATAGAACAAATCTATTGCATAAAACTGATTTTTTGCTTTATACACGGTGTTTTTAAAAGAATGCCGGGATTTCAAACGGCCGTTGCTCGGGGACTATTCAAGATAATTAAATGATTTAAACGTCAAATTGAAAAGAAAAGAACAAAGTTTTTTCTCGTTCTATGATACAATTCGGAATGATTTTATAAAACTCAGATTTTCATCAATCTTAAGCGTAAAACTGGCAAGGTATGTACGCTTAGGGCGATCGGTGGGTTTATCTGATGCCTTAACTGAATCTTTTTAGACACAAAGACTCTCTTTAACAGATAACATCATAGAGTGACCAATTTAGGTTTTTTCAGCTGAAGACTCTATCAGGCAATCGATGTTTTTGGGCTTCTGTTGCAGAATTGTCGGATTTCTTTGACTATGTCATCGCTTGTTTTTAGCCGGCCAGGTGAATGTCTTTTCAAAACGTAGTGTTACCACGAAACTCATTAAACCAGCTTCAATTTACTTTATCATTAAGTATATTTAAATTTAAGTTTAATTTAACAATGGATATCAACTTTGCGCACCACAGATTACAATCTGTACCTTCTGTTGCGCCGTACTGGCAACTGGCGTCAAGCGTATGAATCATAATGGTGGCCAACCACTGCGCACCTGTTTTGCGCATGCTAAGGTCAAAATGTCCTTCCTTATTACACGGGAAACAAAACTTAGTTATTTTAGCTTCAATTTGACGTATAAAACGTTTAGTTACCTTGAATAGTATCCAAGCAATTATCATTTAAAATCCCGGCATTCTTTTAAAAACGCCCTGCATAAATCAGAAATTTGCAAACAGTAGCTGTTGAAAATACATTGTCAGTAGTTAGCAATAAATGTATTAGTTAGCAAAAGTTTATCAGCTAACATCATGGGGAGTGTTGTTCCAAAACCTCTCTCTTCGTAATTTGTTATATTTTAGAAATTTTGTTTTTCTTTTATCAAAAATTACAACACTGACATCTTGAGAGGTAATATAAAAAAAAACTGAGAGGTATTTATAGTCAATATTATTTATTTAATTCAATACTTAACTATCTGTCAAAGTGTTAAATTTTGTAATAGGCTAACAATATTCATTTGACTTAAGTATTTTTCTATATGTTACTAATGAGTTAAGCCTACTTTTCCTATCAAAAACCTTAAGTCCTTGGTGAAATGTACTTGAGGTTAGATATGGGAAACAAACCTGTACTCCAGCAAACGCAGCTTGCAGAGAATCTATCCACGTTGTGTGGATTGAACCGGTGTGCATGTCTACATTAACGAACAGGGGATGATCGCCAATGCCTTTATTGCATTGAGGGCGGCTGAAAAATAATACTTATAAACAAACTTCAACTTTTACCATCGGTACAGGTTCATCAATTTCCTCCAGTTTCAACATTTCAACAATAAAAATTGATTGTAGGCCTAAATAAAGATGGTTTGTTAGTATGGAAGAAATGAAAACCAGCTAATGAAGGTTCTATTTATTTATTTATTTATTTATTATTTGTCATGAGAGCCGAAGCCCCCTGACTGCATACCCGGTACCTATCCTTTAGGACATACCCGGGCCCCATGATGTAGGCCGAAGCTTACGCATCAACCTTTAGCACATCATGGGCGGATGACTTAAGGTCATCAGGCTCGCCGGCTGCCGAAGCAGACCCTTCGGAAGGAGGGTTGCCCCTCAATCCTAACCAGGGATTCCGGCTGCTTGTTTAAGCGTCACTCCACCTGGGTTCCACTAGGTCGGGACCTAGAGGTCCATGGTAGAGCGCCCCGACGCATTTAGTGCAAGCAACACTCGGGACCTATCTAATCCCTGACAGGCAGAACCCGCCATCAATAGCCAGGAGGAAGGGGACCGTCAGCACGCTGACGGTTCCCTCCCATTTACACCGCTGCCCGATCGAGGCCTTACCCATTGCTGGGAAAACCAGAGATAACCAGAGCGATAGATCCCCAGATACCCCTGGCGGGCTCGGACCCAGCACCCGATCTACTTCGTTTGCCCGTCAGACCCAACATCACTGCCAGGCCATCAGGGTTTCCCAAAAGGAGGCAGGTATAGAAGTGGGACCCACCCGGATGAACCTATCCACCAGAGGTGGCGACACCCTTGACTCAATTGAGGTTCCGGGAAGAACCCCCCACACTCAAGATAACCATACCGTCCGTGCTCAGAGACAGGGATTGGTTTGCATAAGTCCCTACAAACCGTTGCCCTCACACTGCGGAAAGTTACGTTGCCCTTGAGTGTCCCCGTGAGCTACGGGTACTTGCCCGTTTTCACCTCCAGGAAAGGTTACTTCCAAAGTCGAGGATTTGCCCACTGAATGCTGGTCGCACACAACAAGCAGGCCGAAGCCCAAAGAACCACAGACACAGGTAGGTTAGAGATTATGATGCACTTCCATCTCTCCTAGAGCTAAACACCCCTCCATCCTGGATAAAGGAATGTCACTGGGACCCAATGCCCAGTCGTCCATGTCTGTGGCCTACTTGAAAATGCTGATACCAACACGGAGCATTTACCTCCCCTCTGGGGGCTAGGTATGTCACCTCCCAGGACGAGGCTACTTCCAAAGTCGAGGATATGCCTCACAAAATGTCAGTCGTACACAACAGGTAGGACTCAGTCACAACCACAAGCTACAGGCAGGTGAAAGATCTATGAACTTAATCAACACTAGCAGAGCTGAACACCCCACCACCCTGAATGGAGGGAATGTCACTGGGTACTCTCACTTTGGGTACAACCCAAAGAGGCTGGCTTGTCCAGTCGTCCATAGCTTGTGGTCTACCTGAAGTGCCGGTTCCAACACCGGGCAATTACCTCCCCTCTGGGAGAGCTAGGGTCCGCGTGGTCGCCCAGGCCACGAACCCACGCAAGCGTGGGCCCCCTGCGGTCTAATGAAGGTCTAATGAAGGTTCTACTGTATCTTCCTAAAGTCTAAATAATCTAAAGTAAATTAAAATACAATAGTGATCTTGCTACTTCGTTATAGTCTAGGTGCTAGGCCATGTCCCGTGTGCACTTATATGCCCCCTAAGTTTTGTTGCGGGGCTTTGTTTAACACCTATGGGAGCTAGAAAAAAAACTGGCCACGTGTTCCAGATCATGGTCGTTTGGCCGCCAAATTGGAAAAGGGTCGCCGGAATTTTATCCCCCTGGAATTTTGCCCCCTGGGCAAAGCTAACGTCACTATGACGTAGTAACCTGAGCGCTCAAAAGTTTGTTCGCGGGCGGAATTTTAGCCCCGCGGATTTGGAAGTCTAATGAAAATAGACAAAGTGTGATTCATTAAATTACAAAAAAAAAAACCAGAATTTTACACCCTGCCCATAACTAGCGTTTATACAACTGAAGATGTACGGCCGGATTTTTACCCCCAGATTTTTACCCCTGGAATTTTACCCCCGGAATTTTACACCCTGGAATTTGACCCCCGGAATTCAATCCCCAGATTTTTACCCCCCATAATTTAACCCCCTGGCTGGATATAGAAATTATTGAGAATGATTGATTTTTTTATTTCTGTTTTTATTTAATTGTAAACATTTTTTTAAGTAGTCTATTTTTAATTATTTATTTTGTAATGTCAACTAAGTAAACGGAATTCGCTGTTTAATTTTGATGTTCGGGATTTGCGTTTGGGGCCAACTGTTGGTTAATAAGTATGTAAAATAAACTGAATAGGCCTAGCTCATTTAAATGATAATTAGGTGATCATTTCTTTAAGGATTTCATTGTACCACCGTGAAACACAATGTATTTAGTTTCTGTAGTACAATAACACAAAACAAAAACATTGTTTTACCACGGTTGTATAGTAAATTGTTAAAGAAATCTTTGAAATAATTACCATTCAGATGTTTGTTTGTACGTCATATAAACCAACAGTTGGCTTCAAAGATCGAATCCTGATACTCGAATCTCAATATAAAAATTAAAAACCTGTTCGATTAGTTGATGTTACAAATAAATTAAGATAGGCTACTTAATAATAAAATGTTTACTATTAAATTAAAACTGAATGAAGATAATTAACAATTCTCACTAAATTTATGTATCAGGCCAGGGGGTAAAATTCCGGCCCGTACACTCAAGGTTTTTATAATTTGATGTGTTCTGATTAAATTCACAACCTTGAAAATATACTTTTAATTCCGCGTTTAATCCATCAAACTGATGTCGCGAAACTCAAAAGTTCGCAGCCGGAATTTTGCCCCCTGGTTTGTGACGTCACGTTTGCCCAGGGGGTAAAATTCCAGGGGGATAAAAATCCGCTATTCCTTGGAAAATGGCCACCAAATTGCTAGATTATTTGCTAATACTTATCTCCCTACCCAATGGTCCGATTTTAATTTTATAAAGCTCATTTTACTCCTTAACTGGAGGCAAACAATCTTTGTCATCACACATTTTTGTTAAACCCATTATTTATTGAGATATATTAACATTTTGAGTCTCTATATAAAAAAAATATTGGTTTTTATTTTCCGAGTTGATTTAGCTCTTCTACCCGACCGATTTTCATAATTTTGGTCTTAAATTAAAGGAATGGATGAACAAGTTTGTTATCCAGCACCGGCATTCATTTATCTTACGTATATTTTGAGATATGCACAGAAGCAACTTCCTCCCTGTACATTTCTTACGGGAGTTAAAGCATACCTTAAAGTCCTTAGGTATATTTTGAATCAATAGTTTTAAGCTTTGGGAACAAGTAGACAAATTAACCAGGCAGAAGTCCACAACATTCATGGAATTACTAGTTGAAACCCGTGAAAATCGGCGGTTACTGTTGAGATTTCAAGCAAAATCATTTAACCATCAATCGATGATAAATAACTAATTTTGGATCAATGTGGGTTGTTCGTGATTTAGTAGCGTGCTTAAGGTAGGTCCAATCTTAATAATTAATAACTCAAATGAAAGCCGGTATTTCACTGGAGGTTCTTAGATAAACAAATTAGGACTATGTAATTAGAATTGAGTCGAATATCTAAAATTAAATTTGATATCCAGGAAACAGTCAGATTTCATGTTTTTTGATTGAGTAATACAGTATCTTAAGCTTAACTGATTCAAACGATTAATATCTCAAATTTAAAGCCTTTATTTCTAGGAGTATTTTAAGGCCAAGACATATAAAATAACTAAAATAAAAATGGGGTTACGTATCATTGACTGCAGATAAGAAATAATTACAATTATTGTTGATTGGTGATTCAGCAGCGTGCTTCAGGTACGCCCGATCTTAATAATCAATAGCTCAAATGAAAGCTGGTATTTCACTGAAGGTTCTTAGACCAAAACATATCGAATAATGCAATTAGAACTGGTGAAATACATCTTTTAATAAAAGTTAGAATTAGAAAAAATCAAACTTTTTTTTTGGTCTAATAAAACAGTAGACAAATGAATGATGATGCTTGATAGCAAATCTTTTCACGCATAGGCCTACCTTTAATTTAAGACCAAAATTATGAAAATCGGTCAGGTATAAGAGCTAAACCGACTCGGAAAAGAAAAACCAATACTTTTTAACATATAGATTAAAAATTTTAATATATCTCAATAAATAATGGGTTTTACAAGGATGTATAATGACCAAGTTTGTTTGCCTTCAGTTAAGGAGTAAAATTAACTTTACAAAATTAAAATCGGACCACTGGGTATGGAGACACGTATAAGCAAATAATCTAGTTATTTGGCAGCCTTTTTCCAATATGGTGGCCAAACTACTATGAATTGGAACACGCGGCCAGTTTTTTTTTCTAGCTCCCATAGGTGTTAAACAAAGCCCTGCAGCAAAACTTAGGGGACATAAGTGCACAGGGGACATGGCCTACCGCCTAAACTATAACAAAGTAGCAAGATCACTACTGTATTTTAATTTACTTTAGATTATTTAGCCTTAATATTATATACTGCTAACGGTCAATATTGACATTTTTAATTAATTAAGACCAAGGGTATCAACTTAATCCTCGGTACACTAAACTATCTACGCTTAACAATTAGAGATAGTTTAGTTTACTACTACGAGCACCTAACGACTTGCGAGTCATTTCTGAAATGCCTATTGCTAATGAATTAACAATTGCAGTTTACATTATCAGTACTTCACAGCTTGTCTAATTGTTGGAATATGCTGATATTCATTCATTAAACAAAGTTACAATAGGGTCATTTTATCTAAATAAATAATTCACAATCAGATAATTACCCTCTCCGCATATGGTCATGAATGCTTTGGTAGAAATGGGCAAACATATGATAGTCCTCAGTCTCCCCAAACATGATGTACGACTTGAGTAGATATTCATAGAAGGAGTCCAAACCAGCCCCTAGTCCACTAAGTCGCCCGACCCATTGGCCTGACGATGCATCTATCACATTACCTGCAAAAATACAGTAGACCCTCTCTTAAATCACCCTGTATCAACTGTCGCTTGGCATGGGCGCCCACAGGGGGGTGCAATTGCGCCCCCTTGGCTAAAAAATAAGAAATAAATTCAGTACTCATAATGTTCTGTTATCACTTTTATTAATCAAATGTGGGTTTTAGGACATTTACAAAATTACATTCGTCATTACAAAAAAATATTTTAAATTGATGTTTATATCAAATAAGTAGTTGTCTCACAGAAGTACCATTCTTTTATAATAAAAAAAATATTCAGAAACAAAACTTCAACTTGCTTGGCTGTTATCTAGACTTTATTCAACTGTAAATTTATTTTTCTTTATAATTGTTTTATTTGCTACAAGTTGAGTTTTATTTAGTCAGTGACAGTGATAAGACAGTGATGGCCAGCCTTTACAGTTTTAACCAGTTTTATCACTTTCTATTCCATTTTAATCATTTGATCAACATGACTAGTTTTTACTATTGCGATTTTGACAGTGTTTTTAAGAATCTTTTGACATACCACAATGTATTAATACATAGATGATGTGGTTGCATACAGTGACCTGATGAAATTCTAAGGAACAAAACTTGTTGTCATACCAGCAACTGTGGGTGGATAAGGTAATCCTTTTTTTGTCAATTAAACTATCTGTCTGTGGCAAGTCTATTGTACTAACCCTCAAGTTTTCACACCATGAGTCTTACCTAATAATCCTGTATTTTTGGCACGATAGTTCCATAAGGCTTTATTGGCACGGCGAGCATAACCTTCATACACAGGGTCATTGAGAAGTCGGCTCAAAATTCCCATCTCAAGCAAGAGTGAACCTGCACCTGCTGGGCACGTCTCGCTTGTAATCGGCTCTTCTGGCATTCCATGACGAAGGTTCACCTAAAATGCCTGTTATAGGTCATGTGTACAGGTTCACTTAGGTTCAGTGACGCTAGACAGGAAAGGAAATGGATGGGACACACAAAGGATAGGAAACAAAGCAGAAACATTGTGGCGCTACAGCTACACTACACAGGATAAGGATTATGCCAGTGCTGTGACATGGCATGTCATTTCGTCCATGCCGTAGTGTAGCAGCTTCCATTTGTTAACACTGAGAGCATTCACCAGAAACTTTACCGTCCGTTTCCTTTCCATGTCCTTTCCAGTGAAGTGTAACTCAAGATTTAGTTGTAAAGCTACAAAGAGTTCTTGAAAAATGTATAATTGTGCAAAATAATGCTTTAGTTTAATCACATTACCCATTTTTACCAATTACTTTACAACAAGCCAGAAGACTTCAATGGATGGTATTTTTAAACTTATTACTGGTGCATGTATATTACTGAAGTCTGTCTTGATAATAAAAATGTAACTGCATTAATGCTTTTGACTTGATACATCGCGAATCACAACTACTATAGGAAGATAAATAAGAAAATTGGTTCAAAACGTGATCAGGTTAGATTAGAGTAAAATAGTAAATAAAGTTAACTGAATAACTTCTCCACTGCTCCAATTTGAGCTATAGCCGACCAAATACAACCACAAAAGATAAATAATATTACCACTAAACCAAAAAAAATAGTGGTCCCCACCAACCAAAAAAGTTTTTTTGCACTGAGTTTTCCTTACTGAATTCGGACGCTAGGAAAACGCCTGTACCTCCCTTATGTATCGAGTTAGTGCCAAAAAACACAGCCTTATTCATCAGCTAGGTAAAGCGGCCTTAAGGGAACCCATTTGTAGTCATAGAGGCCACATCAATGGTAAAGTGCATTTGTAGTAGTTCTGTATACACAGTAATTACTCAGTGAATTTTGAAAGTAGCCTTAATACAACTGTGTAGTTGTAAATAGAAAGTTGACATTTTTATTTTATTTTCTGTTATAAATTAATGGCCTTTTTTAACACGAGAATAATCAAAAAGTTAGTTAAATTTAAGGTCAATATCGTTTGCCATTAATAAATAATTCAATTATAAACTAAGTTAGGACGAATTGCAACGTATCAATGTGTTATACACTATTAAAACTCCATGAGTTCAAACAAATGTTCACCTGCCCCTGCCCCAACACTTTGGGTCATGTTGGTTTAAACTGGGGGTTTTAACATGCTGACTGTAGCCTATGAACAAAATTTTTTACCCTGGGCTGAGGAAGACCTGTAGAACTGTTTTCAAATGCTGGAATCAGTCTTGTAGCGAGATCATGTGCCAAATGTAACAGCTGATCATCATACCAATCTGGCGCAAGTTTACCAAAAGGTTCCTCCTTGTCTATCATTAAGAGATGAGTCGACAGTAATGAACCAATTATTCTGTAGAACAAACAAGCCCAGTTCTAGTTTTAAATATTCATCAAACTGTCAAATAAATTATGGTTTTTTTTTAGTATCAAAACTTCAAAAGGACATTTTTAATGATCAAGCATCGTGTTAAAGGTACAAAAATGTATGCTGCTTTAAGCTTATAACAGTTTACACGGCAGAATCAGTTGCACCTGGAGGAGTTATGGTGTGTTTTATTTTTGTTAATTTATTTTTACAATTTAATATTACAGTAGACTCTCGCTCATCGGGATCGGCCTTGTCCGGACTCCCGGTAGTCCGGATCGGCAATCGTGACTTTTTTTAGCGGCACAGTACAGTAGAAGTCCGATTATCAGAGGGAAACGGGACCGAGACTACCTTGAATAATGAAAAAAATCGGATAACACGGCGGTAAAAATTATTACCGGTGGAAGTGCATATGCCCGGGCTATCATTACTGTGGACCTGGAACAAAATTCGGCCGAAAAGATTATTACCGGTGGAGTTGCATATGCCCGGGCTATCATTACCGTGTACCTGGAACAAAATTCGGCCGTAAAGATTATTACCGCTGGAAGTGCATATGCCCGGCTATCATTACTGTAGACCTGGAACTAAATTGAAAAAACGGCTAAATACAGTACTGTATATTTGCTCGACTCTCGATAGTCCGGAATTTTCGTAATCAGGACCGGACGTCCGCCACATTAGTCCGGATGAGCGAGAGTCTACTGTGCTAAAATTAGAGAACCCAATAAAATCCTGTAATGCTGGCCTACGATTTCCTTTTGATGCTCTATATTTATTTAGTGGTATTCCTGCTATTCTCACAATAACACCTGTTTTTAGAAGACGTTCAGTTATCCGGCATTTCCAATAATCCTGGACCGTCGAAGTTCCAAATATGATGGATTAGGGAATGTCTTCTTACCTTATTTCACATTGAACAATTAAAAAAATATCAGCTGAAGAGTTTTTTTGCATATGGTTTATGTCATCATAAATGTTAAATAAAATCCATTACAATATAACTGTCTTTTTCCTCGATGGATTCACTTCTGCATGTAGAGGATGATATGTGTATCGTTATAGGTATCACATCTTTACCGTTCATACAGTATCTAATTTAAAATGGAAGTGACAAATGGAATACTTACCTAATATTGACTTCAAAAACTTGGACAACACTATCTTTGTCAAAATCTACATGTTCTAAAACTAGAGACACGGCGTGCTGAAACCTGGTAATATTTCCCATGACTGCTAAAGTGTCTAAGGCATCGACTAAGGTTAGGCAGTAGTCACCGAGAATATCATTGATATTGATATTGGACCTGTGAAACACACAAGTACAGATAAATGTTATTTGTTACATGTCTTGAATAGCTTGAAACTAAGGCAGTTACAGTATTACAAGTTAAAGGATGGAACAAAACATAATTTAAAATAAATATTATAGATGGAGGGATAAACTTTCACAAGCCAGAGGTTGCATAGTTTAAGGCAAAAATAAATAAAATGGGAGCGTTGAATAAATCATGATACTCTTCTTACTGAATAAGATTAGAAGGTTCCTTAGTCAGAATAAAATACTAAATCCGAATAATCAAAAAAAAACGGATCATCACTAATATATATGTGCATATGTTGGTAAATGTACATATATAAAAATTTGAATGAATGGTGTTTTTGGCCTCTGAAGTAAATCAGTTCCGGGCCCTTACCGTGCCACCTCCGGTGTGTGTATGTATATACAGGGTGTTTCAGAATTAGTGTCGGATATTTTAGGGTATTATTCCTGGGTAAGAAACATATCCAAATATCATATTTAAACAGTCCGGTAGTCTTTATTTACTCAAACAGCCGCCATTTTGTTTTTTCCTTTAATATTTTTTTTTAAAGAGAATGGTAAAACATACGGACTTGAAACTTTGCACAAACATTTCTGACTACTAGGCAAAGCTACAAAAAAATTATGAACATTTTCCAAAAACATAAAACAAAATGGCAGCCATGATTTAAAGTTTTGTTTCTTAAATAACTCAAAAACATTGATTTTATGAAAATTTTACAAGAATAACTTTTTTTAGGTAATTTTATTAAAAATCAATTGACACCTTAATTTTTACAATCGAACGTATATTAACTGAGATATGGCAGTTTTAGTGATACGTGACCACTGGAGGTGAGTTGTAGAGCATGCGGAGCCATGCATTGTTGTGGCGCCGCATGCTCTACAAGTAACCTCCAGTGGTCACGTATCACTAAAACTGCCATATCTCAGTTAATATACGTTCAATTGTAAAACTTAAGGTGTCAATCGATTTGTAATAAAATTACCTAAAAAAAGTTATTCTTGTAAAATTTTCGTAAAATCAACGGTTTTCGAGTTATTTAAGAAACAAAACTTTAAATCATGGCCGCCATTTTGTTTTATGTTTTTGGAAAATGTTCATAATTTTTTTTTAGCTTTGCCTAGTAGTCAGAAATGTTTGTGCAAAGTTTCAAGTCCGTATGTTTTACCATTCTCTTTAAAAAAATATTAAAGGAAAAAAACAAAATCGCGGCTGTTTGAGTAAATAAAGACTTCCGGACTGTTTAAATATGATATTTGGATATGTTTCTTACCCAGGAATAATACCCTAAAATATCCGACACTAATTCTGAAACACCCTGTATATATATATATATATATATATATTCGTCCGTGAACGCAATAACTTGATTAGTTTTTGTCCGATTTTGATGAAACTTGGTTTAAAGGTGCAAGGCAGGATAAACTTGAATGAATTCGCAAACCAGCATGATCGGACCATGGGAACGGGGTTATACAAGGGGGGTTTTATGGGGTAAAAATTAGTTTTTCTCATTTTTGACTCTCAAAACACAAAATTTCTTAATTTCTCTCTAGACCTTTTTAAAGAGCTTAAAAAAAAAATAATTTAGTATATCAAAGTGTTTTTGTATGGTTATTGGTAATGAAGAAAATTCAAAAAAATTAAAATTTAAAATTTCCAGGTTATTCTAATGGAGAATATTGTAAAATGTTGTAGTTTTTTTGTTTATGGATATATTTTGACCAAACTTGGCAAAATTATTATTTATTTCATACTATTAATATTTTTACTAAATAATACACTTTATTAGTTTCCTTGTAGCAGCAAACCTAGGTACTCGTTAAGCCTAATGTTATTTAAATAGATTTAATTGAAAATCAATTCAGACAATTGGAAATTTGCCTAGTCGGCAAGTTTTCTGCGGCGGGGATATTTATGTTTGGTAAGAGAGTTTTCATTAACAGGTTCACTGCGCATGACGAGTAATCTCCAGTGGCGTGCAATGAGTATACTTGTCAAAGCGCCGCTTACAAACTATTTTTCAAATGCGATGTTAGCCTGTGAGACCTTGTTTTGCTTGCCGCTTATTGTGCCAATGTTATACTTCAATCTGGTATAGTCCGTTTCCTGATCCGACTATTTTAAGGTTCATTTAGTGGTACTCATGGTAACCCTAGTGGGATTATGGCGTGGTCTGGACGGATCCTTGTGTGGGCTTAGGACTGAGTAAGGAGAGCAAACAGCTGTTTATACTTAGCTTAATGCGGAATTAAATCAATTTGTTTTGAAACTAAATAATTAGCTCTTATTTAGGCGTGTGGGTTTTGAAAATTAAGAGTGAGGTTGGGTTAGGTTAGGTTAGATTAGATTAGCTGAGCTTAATTGAATGTAAAAGGGATTCAATAATAACTTCTTTACTGCAGTATGTCTTAGAGCTAGAGATAATATTGTTACCAAGCATGGAATCTCGCATTGTTGGGGTTTCCTCATTACACAATGTAATATTGTTTATTAGTTGCTGGTACATGAAATTATGTACTGTGGCACGTTTTCACTTTTAGGCACTATGGGATTATGCACTATGGCACGTTAGTTAACAGACGTTAAGGGTTGAAATGAGGACGATCATGTTGTTATTGAAGTGGCAGTGGCATAGCTTCTATTACAGTAGAACCTCTTTAATCCGAACTAATTGGGACCGGGGGTAGTTCGGACTATTGAATAGTTCGGATTACAGAACATATTGTTGTCTTTACATAACAATAGCTAAAACAAGGCTAAAATGTATCGTAATTGCTACGGGAAAAGTTAAAAAATACTTTATAAAGTAAAATACATTTTTTATTTAATACAGTAAACATAGTGAATAAACAGTAATGTACATTAAATACAGTATACAATAGAGAACTACTGTACTGTGTATAAAGTACAGCAATGAGGTGTTCGGATTAGTGGACGTTCGGATCACGGGGGTTCGGATTAAAGAGGTTCTACTGTACTTGTATTGTACGAGAATAAATTTAATTTTTTATAATTAATGTTTATGTACGTGATTAATAGTTTATGTATATCGTAGTTGAGTTACTGTATTTTCTAAACGGCATCAAAGTCCATATATGCTTTTACGAATCTAATTATTGCATATTGTAATACTGATTTTGCTCTCATGTTGTCGTGAGTGATTTTGTTTGTTTAGCATGAAATGTAAACAGCTAACACCTGTTTCCACCCCACAAACCTTCCTCCCCATCAGTGTTAGTCACTGCTAGCATTGGACTGGTCCAAACCACAAATATCTGACTAACTCAACGAAACTGAAGCTTGATATTAATTATTTAATTGTGCGGCCACTTATGAACCTCTCCGACAAAAACTGGTTAACTGCATTTTTGGATTCAGCGTGGAAAAAACTGTAAGTAGACATCTAAAAATTACATCATATCCCCATTGTAGACATATTCAATAATTACCCTTGGAATTAACTATACTGGCCGGAAAGATGAAATGTAAGGTTGGGTAATCAGATTTGTGAAGTAGTATGTACATTTTTAAAAGGCCTAAGTTCTAAATAGTTTTGAATATTTTTTTCTTGAAGAAACTTTTTATCCATTTAACATTCCTTACTTTCTGAATAGCCTTTACGTGTGACAATAAGTAGATAAAATTAACCCTTTGGCCGCCACGGTCCGATATATCGGACGTCGGCTAAATGTTTGTTTACTGGCCGGCTGATTGTCCAAATGGGACATATAACATATGAGACGATTTGTCATGAATCGGGCTACATGTAGAAACAGCTTTTGCTTTACTTTGAGTTTCGTGTTTGGTACGACTTTGTTGGAAAAAGTGACATTGCATCATCTGTGTTTGTATCCAGGCCATAAGAGTGCTGTTGGAGGTTAATTGTCGTGACATGCACCCACTTAAAAATTGTGGCTGCGAAAGGGTTTAATATTAGTCACCCACCACAACTTCAGTGCCAGTTTTACAAAATTGATGTTTGTTTTTTTATGTTTTTTGCTTAAAGATGTTCAATGGATTCCTAGGCTTAACTTAAGTTACCATCATTGAATTAATTGCTTACGGATTGTCATAATCAGGTCCTCTTCCAGTGCATAAAATTGGATTTAATTCATCCTTAGGGAATGCGTGCTCTATATAGTTATTATATCCGAAGTAAAACATTTCTCTTGCTTTTTCCAAAAGTTCTAACCTCAAAGATTCAGGAAATGATCCATATCTTTTCTCCAAGTAATCCAGTGGGCCATTTTTAAAAACATAATAGTTTTCAAGACTATGAGTATATATTTTTAATATCAAAATTAAAAAAGTATGTCGGTAAAAGAAAATTGAAAACATATTCACCGCTCATTAACCAATACATAGTTTTAACCTAACTTTCCATCCAGTCCAGGTTTTGTTTTTTATTTCAAACCAAAATTCTATTCAATTTTTTGTTCAATCTATTGCAGTACTATTCTTGGTGTTTAGTTTACCCCATGGAGATAAAAAGATTAACTGGAGTCGCTACTCTTTGATTAAACCAAACATTAGAGGAAAACGTGCCACTGTTTTTTGGTTTTTTTCGGTCTTTCGTGTTGTTAGGTTGGCCGGGTGATCGGTTGGTGGGATGCTGTCAAATTCAATTCATTTTCCAAAAATGCTAAGTTATTTATTAGAGGTTATCCGTTATTTTAAGGACTTATTTAAAAAACTTATTTAAGTTATTTTATTTTACGTTAAAACTTGTGTATTTAAAGTTATTTTGAAACATTATAAATTGTTTTTGATAGTATATAAAATATACTAACTTATTTACCTCTTTTCAAGCTCTTATTTATGGTGAAAATAGTCAAGTTTCCTGGTTTGGAGATATTGGTTTAAACTTGGGTTTAGCTCTATATGGCATTCGATTATAGAACGACCATCGGTTTATGGTCTTGTTAAAATGGGTTGCTCGTAAAATAAATAAATGAACTTATATTGCAATCATAATGTTGACATATTTTTGTTTACTATCGACAAAACAATAGGATGACGCCATCTTGATCTTGCCACGAATTAATTAGTCTAATTCTAATTTGACAAGTCCCACCTTGGCAAAACTAAAAATTAAAGAACCTATGTCATCCTGGCTAAAAAGTTACTTAACAAACAGAAAACAATATGTTGAGCAAGTTTACAATAACCAAAATAATTTAGTTAAACAAAAATCAGAGATGAAACTAATTTACCATGGGGTGCCCCAAGGCTCAATATTTTGGGCCCACTTTTATTTTTAATTGGATTACCTCAAGTCATTTCTGGTAATAAGGAAAACAAAATTTGCATCTATGCCAATTTGAAAATAAGTGGCAAATCTGCCATAGAACTAGAACAATCTATTAGCTAAGTGATATAAATAACTTCTTTAGTGATCATCGACTATTACTCAATATTTTAAAAACAAATTTAATGCCAATCAGCGCCACCAACAACAAAAATAATAAATTAAATCCCATCTCAATTACTATAAATCAAAATAAAATATCTCCAATAACTAACACCAAATTTTTAGGTTTGATAATGAGTAACAATTTAAGTTGGTGTTTACATATTGAACAGATAGCTAAATAAGTCACACAGGCCGCGGCCTTCGACGTGGCAACGTTGCAAGTAGGGTTGTAACAGCTGTTTTGTTTGGAAGCAGGTAATGGTATTTGTGTATTTACGAAAGCTTGGTTACTGGACTATGAAATAATTGACTCCGCTTTAAACGTCACGGCCGCGGCCTGGTAGAGTTGGCAACGTCGCATGTAGGGTTGTTTAGTGTCAGACGCCTCATAAGACAACATGGCAGACAGGTGGCATCAGCTCATTAATTCGCACTTTATTAATTAAAAATTAAATTTATGAACAAAAATGTATGAAAATAATGAATATAGGTAAAACATACATAATTGAAAAACATGAAATTAAAATCTATATCTGTACATTTTAAGCGAAGTCAATATTTTCATAGTCCAGTAACCAAACTTTTGTAAATACCATGACGTATTAACTGCTTCCAAACAAAACAGTTTTTACACGTGGATACAACCCTACAAGTGACTTTGCCTTTTGCCATTTCAAAGGCCGCGGCCTGGAGTTAAAGGCAGCTGCGGCTGTATCCGTTCAAATTTCACAATATTGTAATCATAGAATGAAAATAGGCGAACCGGCATGATCAGACAATGGGAGTGGTGTTTTACAGGGTAAACATTGTGCCTGAAGTCTGGCCAGTGACATAATTTGTTTATGTTTGAAATCCTGACAATTTCCGTTCTAATATCCGTGACTATTTAAGAAAACTAAGCTACTAAACAAAAATACTTTTCATCTTGAGACGGAATCCCAAAATGACCTACCCTACATCTTGTTTGAAATTTTGATAGTGTGAACAAACAATCTGGCCTGATGCCTGAAGTCACTGGCCTTTGGAGCCTGGAGTCATGAACGATGGCTGGGGCTTTTAATATTGTATTATTTTACATTTTAGTTTTGTCCTAATATTGATTGTATTTTGTTAAATACAATATTATACTCCTACTCTACTGTCTGTGTTTGTTAGCCCATATCTTATTTTACCTCACAATTAACCAATACTAAAGACATTTGTTGTAAGATAAACGCTTACAACATAACAAGACGCTTGAAATCTATACAAAGATAAAATAAAAAATGGAATAGGCTATTTTAGGGGAGCAATAAGGGGGTTAATAGGGGAATTCGAACCACATTTTTGCCTTGTAATTATACGAATAAGTCTAATTATCAGGGTAATAAAAATGGATAACATGTGTGATAAATTAAAGGTAAAATTTGTAACATCCTTGATATAAACATTCTGATAGACGGATGGAAAATAAGGTTTTTTATTTGATTTCAAAAAACTATTTCAAACAATAATATTGATATAATGATGTAGTGATGTAACACTTTCATCAAACCACGACTGAAATACTTAACACACCCTTTTATGAAACATAACCTGTGATTTAATTTATAATTTAATAGTTTTTAATAATTTATTTACCACTCTTTTTTATGATTAATCTCTGTTTGATCATTGTATCGGTGGTCCAAAAATAACTCTGGGGGAGGGGGAGGGCGTTTGATTATGTTGTATCGCGTAGGTCTAAAAATAAAATAACTCATGAAAGGGGGGCCCAAAAAATAAGTTTGCAGGGGGGCCCGTAAAAATTTGTTACGCAACTGTGGCTACGTAAGGAGAGAAAGGGTCCAGGGGAGTTAAAGGCGGCTGTGCCGTGATACAACCCAATAGCTTAGGGCCATGTCATACGAGCGTTATTGCGGTCGCGCAGATGCCGTCGCGTTAAAGTCGCTCCAACCCGGCAATGGGGTTTTTATGGAGCATGTCATACGGACGCTAATGCCGTCGGCGAGTCCGCGTTAGCCGGACGCTGAGCGCAGCCAACGCGGACGGTCGCGTCAGCGACGCGGTGCACGTGACGCGGGACCCTGTCATACGGAGCGCTAGCGCTAGCGGGACGCATTTGCCGCGTGAGCACTGTCAGAACAACTGGAACACCTTTGGAGTGATCATTACGATATTTGATACGGAAAAATTTATTTATTTAGTTGAAAAACTGCCATTCTGTACGATGTAAAAGTCGAGTGATTACAGCAACAGGCAACTGAAGGCACAGTGCTGGAACGAGGTTGGGGAGGCCATGCACGAAAACTGGAATCAGATGACAGGATTATTGGATTATTCCGATAATACTCTTCATATGTATCTAAAATATGCAAAAAGCTTATACAACCTACCTGGATGGTGTTCATCTTGGTACTGTAATAACATAATTGCCGCGACGGCAAATGCGCCCGGAAGACGCTACGTAGGACAGGCACCTGGCGTTGGCGGGACGGCATCAACGCGACGCATTTGCCGTCACGTATGACATGCAATTTTTCCGGCGCTATCTCGACGGCATCTGCGCGACGGCAATAGCGCTCGTATTAGGGTGCCGTGTTTCCCCCGGACGTGCGTGAGGCGGACAGTGCGTGAGCCGGACAAAACTGGTTCGGGTGGGTAATTGAGCGGACGTCTCCCTGCATCTACCCGGCTCGCGGGGAATATCCCCGTTACCGAGTCGTCCGAGGAATTATCGCGTTTTGCCTCCCAGCGCCCAGTTCTTTGAACCACACCTAAACTACCGAAGCAATATAGCTCTGATTTTGTAGGTTAATAGCTAAGAGACTATGTTTTATCTATAACTAGCAGAGTACCCGTCCTTCGTACGGGGTTTGCATATAAGTATAAATGTTTATTGCAGTCATGGGAGAAGACGCGGTTTAAGACAATTTGGTCTTTTAATTTATACGGTATCCTATTATAGTGTAACACACATCTACCATAGCCCTAATGTTCTACCACTGCACCTAAACCATGGAAAAAAGTAAAGTTCTCATTGTGTACCACAACTTTTTGTTGCTAGTTGGTTCAAATTAGCTGTGGTCATTATATGCAAAAAACATAATAGTGCTGTACCCTATTGGCAAGCCTTATAACTTTTTAATGCTATTTAATATCATAGAACCAACTTGTGCAGTTGAAAAGGCTGACAAAATTCTTTAATTTCTCTAAATATGAATACTCATAAGGTTAACATGAGACACTCCATGGCCAGAGCCACTGGGGCGGAGCCTGAAAGGATTTTTGAGGTAAGAATATGTCTATATGTTAATCGGGAATGTCAGCTATCGTCATACCAAATTTCAACCTTGTCGGTTTAGTATTCTTCGCGTTTACTTGTCGCAAACATCCATCCATCCATCCATCCATCCATACATCCATCCATCCATACATCCATATACATCCAAACTTTCTTACTTATATTATTATTTAGTCGGATAAGTAAACTGTTGTAATATTGCTCGTTTATGAATAGATTTTCTTTAAACTTGGCAAATTTATTTACTTCATACTAAGCTAATAATATTTTTCTAAAAATCACACTTCGTTACCCTCCCTGTAGGCAGCAAACCTAGGTACTCGTTAAACCTAACGTTATTGAATTAGATTGAATTGAAAATAAAGCCACACAAATGGAAATTTGCTTTGTAATTTGCTACTATTCGTATTTGCTAGCAGCTATACCCGTGCCTTGCAACGGGATCAGTAATAATATAATAATAATAATAATATGCAAGAGATACACATAGGTTCTTTGAAAATGCCAAATGGTTTCACTCCTACCATTTAATTTAGAAACAAAATTTAACTGTATTACTTAACTTGACAATAGTACGTTTTTGTTAACTCATACTGTTAATACTTATTTAGGCTCGGCCTACCTACGATACAAAACCAATGATGGATTTAAAGGTATAATAAAATAATGTGTTTAATGGTTTGCACTGTAAA